ATTGTGCCGGTACCGAAAAACGGACGGTACCAATGTCCTTTATGGGAAAACGGAAGAGGTCACTAACATAAAACCTAGATAGCTCAGTGGTAAGAACACTTGCCTAACAAGCGGAAGACTAAAGCTCGATTCCAGCCATCGCCCTGAAGATTTTTTCCTCACATGACTATTAAAAATAGACCTGTACAGGTACGAGGGCGACAGCCCCCCTCGGCTATGATTTAATCTTTCTTTCCATACTATATAGTTGTGATATTAACAATTGTATAAATAATAAAAATTAACTAGGAATCGATACTGGCCCAGTACTGGGAGTAGATACTTCCCCAGTGCTAAGAATCAATACTTTTTTTATACTGGTATAATACTGATTTTCGGTACTGACAGTACTGTTTTCCAATACCTTTTCTATCATTCCAGTATCACACCAATACTAAACCCGTACTGGCATCTAGTACTATGCCAGTAATATTTACCATAAATCGGTATTGGGCCAATAGTACTTTGATGCCAGTAGTAAATTCCTACTTGGGTGTCTATACTGAAATCAATAACATTTATGTATGCCCATTAATAAAATAAAGAAGTAGAATAAAATATTCTAAAACTACTTTTAACCTACTTTTTAAACTAATCTTTTTTTAATAAAATATCCTTTAGTATATATTTTGCATCATCGTTAGCAATATTACGATAAAACTTGTAGCATAAGGAATATTAAAAGAACCATTAATATTGCGAAGTTTATAGTAGACTTAAAAATCTCGCTGCATAACTTCGCCTCCCGCGTTATAAGGCTTAATATAGGTTTTCATATCACTATAAGATTAATACAACCCAAAAACGTCGTTAATAGCGCTATGATAGAACTCGTAGCAACAGGAGTATTAAAGAATATATTAGCACTGCGAGACTTATAATAGACTTGAAATTTCGACTCGCGGGACCTTCTGAAAGTTACTCAAGAGGGTGACCTCTATCATATATATAAAGGTCAAGGTTATAAGTGCCGCGTCCGTTTTTGTAAAGGTTTACCAAAAAAAGAAATGATAGTATTATTTTACTGAAATTAGCTCAAGGAGGTTATAAAGTTCAGTGTCGCGCGCGTACTCTTTTAGTGACGCGCGCATCAAGGACACCACTCGTAAACTTGCTATCTATTAAACAAAATTGCATTTTTATGCATTAATTTCATTATCTAAATAATAAATGTTAATTTGAGATAAAGTTTGGATGCATATAAATACGTACGCAATATATATTACAAATACGAAAAATATTATTTTCTTATTAATGTTTCATTTGTGCATCAGTTGATCTAATAAAGATGCACAGATAATATACATGTATATATATATATACACACACACACACACACACACATAAATACATACATACATACAATCTGACAATTACATATACTTATTTCATATAAGTATTAGGTTATAAACTAAACAAAAAATTCCTCTACCATTTTGTGAACAATTATGTAAAATTTTTAGTTATTAATTAAAGAAGATTGACGAATGATCGCGCGTGGTACTGTAAGTGGAGCGCTATAGATGTAGTATCTCTAGATTGCGCTAATCAACACTTCTCGCACATCACTCATTGAGTCTATCACTGCTCAACGCTCAACGCTCGCCTAAAAGAATCAGACTAGCGATTATCGATTGACAATTGGTTTTCAACTAATTAAAGCAAAGTAGCTACTGATTGTGTTGCTCTGATTAGTTAAACACTAATCGTCAATTGCTAATTGTCAATCAACAATCGCTATGTCATTTAATTTCTCCTTAACACAATGTTATTCTATTCGGACATTACTCTATTTGAACGATGATAGATTAGGAATGAAAGGAAAACGTTAATTAACGCGATCCAGACAGCACTTCAGTTACAGTATCACACGCGATCATTTTTTTTATTAATAATTAATTAATAATTATTAATAATTAATTAATAATTAAAATTTGATTAATTAATTAATTAATTAATTAATAATTAAAATTTTAACGTGGTTCTTCACAAAATGGTAGATAAACTTTTTGTTTAGGTTAAATCTTATTTACATACACCAAATGAATATATTGGGAGTGTGCATTAATTTTAAAAGATTTTCAAGAAATGGCGTAACCTAGTATGTCCTCCTCCTTCTATGGTGGATCCCCCATGACACATTGCGTCCAAGCACCCGGGGGCTGCCAAAAAATTGGTGTCGACCCAGGGGCTTATTTGTATTGTTTGCATCGGATGAGAAGGGGCAACGGTGGAGACGGGCATACATGGACAGCAGGTCTTAAAGAATAGCAACCTTTAACTTTGAGAGACTGACAGCTGTACCATTTGGTACAGTAACATTGTTTCTCTCTGTAGTCGCCGTGCGCTCGGGATCGCGCCAGAGATGTCGCTTCCGAACGGCATCTCTGAGCGTTATCTAGGAAGAGGAGAGTGTCGTGAGCGTGGAGCGTCAGGTAGCTCAGTGGTTTAGAGCAGTCGTCCGGCAAGCGAAAGACTCGGGTTCGAGTCCCGGCCTAGCAGGACCGCGCTCTCGATATTTTTCTCTCTCTGGAACGAAAAAGATACGCAGATCTCGAACGCACGGCGTCCCGCCGCCACGTAGTATGCCCTCTTCCTTCTATGTACTATATCGCATCGGGCCATATTATTGCTACCTTCATGTCAAAGCACTATCATATGGCTTTAGTTTTCAGTTTATGTGTCATTTTTAGTTTATGTGTCATTTTGCTAAAGTGTAAACAACATTGTTTTTTTAGCGTTGAATATGTCGAATTTTGTGCCAACAATTTGCGGGAAGCTTAGTTTTTTACTTCCATTTGAAGAAAAGTGTTGCTGAAAGTTAACAAATGCTGTTGGAAGCTTATGGTGATTATCCATCAATTTCAACATGTAAGTACTGGTTTCGACGCTATAAAAAAGGTGATTTCGACGCGAAAGACAAGGAACGTTCAGGCTAGCCGAAAAAGTTTGAAGATAAGGAAGTGGAAGCTTTATTCAATCACGACCCCAGTCAAACGCAAGAAGAACTTGCAGAATCATTAAATGTTGATCGATCAACGATTTCTAGACGTTTGAAGGCCATTGGAATGATTCAAAAGCAAGGAAATTGGGTGCCGTACGAGTTGAAGCCGAGGGACGTCGAAAGGCGCAAAATGACCTATGAATTACTAGATTTGAGGCTTTCACGGCCATTGATACAATGTCTAGATATAGCTTCCGGAATGGAGCCGTGTCTTGAATCAGCGATATGCCGACGTTTCGCAAACGTTGCAGTTTGCATCATCAGGGCTGAGAACTCTGATACTATCTGATAGTATCAGAGTTCTCAGCCCTGATGATGCAAACTGCAACGTTTGCGAAACGTCGGCATATCGCTGATTCAAGACACGGTTCCATTCCGGAAGCTATATCTAGACATTGACCTATGAATTGTTGCTTCAAAAACACAGAAGAAAAAGTTTTTTGCATTGTATCGTGACGGGTGATGAAAAATAGATACGCTACGATAATCCCAAGCGCAAAAAATCATGGTGCAGGCCAGGTGAACCATCAACATCGACGGCAAAACCGAATATTCATGGCGCCAAGCTCATGCTCTGTATTTGGTGGAATCAGTTGGGTCTATTATGAGCTGCTCCAACTCAACGAAACACTGGGGAACGCTACCAACAATAATTGATGCAATTGAGTCGAAGCAAAAACGGCCAGATTATGCGAAAAGACACGACAAAGTGATTTTCCAGCACGACAACGCTCGGCCATATGTTGCGAAACCGGTCAAGGAAACGTTAGAAGCGCTTAACTGGGATGTCCTATCACACCCACCGTATTCTCCAGATATTGCTCCTTCCGATTACTACCTATTTCGATCGATGATTCATGGCCTGTCTGAGCGCTTCCATTCTTATGAGGATATCAAAAAATGGGTCGATTCGTGAATAGTCTCGAAAGATGTATCGTTTTTTCGACGTGGAATCCACCTATTACCAGAAAGATGGGAAAAAGTAGTAACTAGCGATGGAAAATATTTTAAATGATCAATTTGTAACCATTTTTTCACAATAAAGCCGTATTTTTACTAAAAAATCCCTTAAAATTAATGCACACTCTCAATATGTATCATCAAACAATATATCTTATACATTTATAAATGCCTAAATACGTATATATGTATATATATATATATATTTCGAGTATTATAAACTTTCCACCACTGTTCCACCATTTTTCAAACAAAATAGTCAATAATTCTAATTTAATGATAATAATGATTTTAAATTTATATGATGTCGGTATATTAGTCTTTAATATTATAGTAGCTTTTCATTAAAACTTTTAGAGAGAAGCAAGAAGGGAGAGTATTTAAAATAAAGAATTAAAAAGAATTATAAAAAATTAAAAATATAATTTGAAAATAGTACGCGAACCTTAAGGAACACTATAAAAAGTATCAACTTTAGTTTCAAATATCTCAACTTTCGAATAATTAATCTTTTTCTAATTGCACAAGATAATATTTTAATTTATTTTACGTAATACAAGTAATAATAAATACAAATATCAAATATCAATAAATTACGAATAAACTCGTTTTGCCTTATGATCTCCTTAATAATTTAGTGAAATTAGAAACGGAACACTGTGGTTTATACAAGAATTAAAATGTTATTTTTACTCTAAGAGCATATTTTGCCAACAACATTTGCATTCAACCATCTACGATTAATTAATTTTTTTTCTAAACAATACAAAATATAATTAAATGGATAATAAAATTTCCTCTTCCACAAGAAAAACAGCTAATACAGAGTGATACTTTAAGGAAAATATTATCTCAACAAACATAATGACATCAAATGATATTTAATGACTTATTATTGATGTTAGAGATGTCATTGTTATATCATTTGACGTCATCATGTTTGCTGAAATAACATTTTCTTCGTTAAGATTAATGATAACTATTTCAATGATTGCAGGAATTCAATGATTTTCGAACAAAGTGTGGACTTTTGTGGAGCTACGACTGGGTGTCAATCCCTTTAGTATATACCCAAGTGGTGACACTCGCTACATACAGCTTCTTCGCGGTTGCTTTAGTTGGCCGACAATACATCGACGGCCATGAAAAGCAATTCCAATTGAAGATAGACAAGTACTTGCCCATCTTCACGATCTTGCAGTTTTTCTTTTTTATGGGATTATTGAAGGTAGCCGAGCAACTGATAAATCCTTTCGGCGACGATGACGAGGACTTTGAACTCAACTGGCTAATTGATCGTCACGTCAAGGTGGGAACAATTAAAACAATTTCAAATAATTGAGGTGAATTCTAAAATGCAATATTTATATGTACACTTGTGTATAATCGCCAGGTTTCGTATCTCGGAGTGGACACGCTAATGAATCGTTGTCCACCACTCGTTAAAGACATCTATTACGATTCTGAGAATTTGAACTTACCTTATACAGAAGCAGCAGCAGCTTATAAGAAAAAGACGTATCGCGGTAGCGTGGCGAACATGACGTTAGTATTTTATACAAGTATATAATAATACGAAACGTTAGAGTTACAAAGGAGCTCGAGTTCATAATTTATAAGATTCAATTCTGCACATCAAATCGTCAAAGTAGACTTCACGAATTATGGATTTTAAAAATAATTTCATTTTTTAAAAGTATGTCTTCCAGATAAATCAAGTTAGATGTAAATCGTTTGCAACAAACCTTAACGGAAAAAACAGATTTGCTGCCACGATTGAAAACCTTATTAACATAAGAAACCTATGACTATAATATAAGAGAGACAGGGGCTATATGACCTTAGCAATATGTTGCTTATATATATATATATATATATATATATATATATATATATATATATATATATATATATATCTTTTTTTTTATTTTTTAGTATTTATCTTAAAAGGAATAGTGAGTACAAAATCGCGAAATAATTCTTCTAGAATATAAATACTTTTTCCTAAGTTTCTTTAAAATCGGTATAATAAGAAATAGAAAAAAACTGATTTGGTAATAACAAAATAAATTTTCGAACCTCTCGAAATTAATATCCTTTATCGTGACTGATGGAACATTACATTATGACAATTAAACGATATGTTGCTAGCTAAAATAAAATGTCTTGCAAGTGTATGATTAATGTTTTTAGTAATAAATACAATTTTCATTTATAAAATAATTGAAATGAAGTATATAGACACACAAGGTAAAATTGGCTCATAATTAAGGACCTACAGAAGAACTGTTGAGACCTCTCACGAAAACTTTAGATATACTCTAGATAGAAATCATTAATCAGGATACATATTTTATATGTGGCTTGCGCTACTGGCAACTGAACCCGATATCAGGGCAAAGTGGCTATGTTGCTGCAAGTTCATATTTTTACAAAACAAAATATACGATTAACAGTGACGCACATTAATACATATAAAAAAAGATTGCCTCCATTATGTTTATACGGTTATTTACAACAATTAGTTGAGAAGTTATAACTTCAAAATTCTAAAATAAAATAAAGCATCTAACCCCGGTCTCTCTCTCTCTCTCTCTCTCTCTCTCTCTCTCTCTCTCTCTCTCTCTCTCCCTTCCTCCCGCCCTTTCCCTCTCTCTTTCTTCCCTCCTTACGGGCAACTGATTCGTTACGTTGCGTAAATTAAGGGGACTAGAACGGTTTTAAATCTTCAAAAAATCGATTTTTTGTTTTTTACATAATCGTTTAGTACAACTCTATAAGAACATTTTGGCGCAAAAAGAATCACGATATTCGAAAAATTGAGTTCAGAAGAGCGAAAAATGTGAGGCGGCACGCGACCGGTGGAGCGCGCGCGATCATATAGTGTAAGAAATGTAGATATTGTTTATTTAAAACAAACTAATAAACAGTAATAACGGTTCGAAAACTTAGAAATAATAATATCGGAAACAAAAGCTATAAGTGTGTGGAGGTCACTGCTAACAAATATAAGAGTAACAACAAAGGAGACGAGAACGGTCGGTCGGTAGTAGAAGTAGTCGGTCGTTTATTTTTCAAAACAGCATTTTCCGCTCCTTTTGCCATGATAACTCAAGAACGGCTGAAGATATCGACTTGATCTTTTTTTTTAATTAAAGATAAAGACGTAGATTGAACCAAAGTTTGCTTATAAAAATTAATTTTTTAATACCATTTTAACAACATATAACTTGAATTTTTAGACATTTTTGGTTTTTTGTCCGCTATTTCTATGTCCTCTAATTTTTTAGATTTTTAGTTCCATTCCAGTTTAATCTATAGAGGGAAATCATATCTACAAAATAACGCCTTGCATTAAAAAATTCCAACTTGTTTTCCCGGAATCGTGGCAAAACCGCAAAAATAACGTTTTTTATTTTAACAATATCTCACTCAATTATTAATATTTTTTTAACTTTTACCGCTTATTGTATTCCTAAAAATATGTATAAAAACTAAAAAAAAATAAACATTATATTTCTATATTCGTTCATCGACAATCGAATTTCATTCGAATTTCACTCAATTTTCGGAAGATGAAACCGTTCTAGTCCTCTTAAATCCCAAGTAGAACAAAAAATTATAATGACATCAAAAGGATCAAATTATAGTTGTGAGTTTTTCATTATTTGCTCATCATTTTGACACCATTTTGACGTCATTTTTATTCTACTTGATTTTTTATTCTACTTGAAATAAAGTTATATTAGCTTTATGATTGTATCTAATAAATTTTCGTGTTATAACACAACAGACTTGTTAGTAAGACGATTTTCTATCATAATCAATGAAAAATCTAGCTTAATATATGCAACTAACTGCATTTTACTGTTGTATCAAAGAAATTTGACACATTAAGGGATTTCATTACAGCTAAATAATTAGTTACTCCATCAATAGAAGTTAGCTAAAGTAATAATGTTCATTGAAATATGTGGAGTATTTACTCTGCAATTATTCAAATAATAATAAAATACTATAAATGTAATAGAAATAGTAATAATAAAATACTAATAAATACTAATAAATGTAAATGTATACACACCTCTAAAGATTGTATATAGTTTATATTAATATATATTATATATATATGCAATTATAATATATGCAATTATTAATATAAAAAGTAAAACAAATTGTGTAGCGCATAATCATATATTTCTCATTACGAACACTTGCATATATAGGCTTAATGAGAATACATTTTTTTCGTAAAACGAACAAAAATATTTCTTTGTTATTTATTGATTTATTTCAGGTGCGTTATTTGTTTGATAAAATTAATGATGTTGTTTCGCAAACTTTAATTAGCTTGAAATACAAAAGGATTTATTGCAGTAACTAAGAAAATATCAACTAAAATAAGTTTACCCTGTAAGCAGATTGACAATTGCTTCCGCGAATAATTTCCTTATTGTAAACTAGTAAATCTGCTTAATTATAATGTTTAATTTTTCCTAACAAACTACAGATTTACTGAATCAGCTAAATCTTTTTTCTTTGTACCAAATTTTTCTTGTAGAAATTAAAAACCTCGTACGTCATACGTCGAAATCTTACATAAAAGAAAATGATACAATAAATTCTAACATTGATTTTTATGGCATTTTAGGGTACCTGAGGAAAAACAAATGATGTTTTTACCTGGTATTTTGGAGGAGGAGGAGGAGGAAGGAGGGAAAGGAATTACGACCCCTCGCACTTCCACTGCGAGTTTATCAAACCCGAACGAGAGTCCAGTGAACGAAAAGCGGTAAAGTTACAATTAGGGCAATTATCGATGTATTCTACTAATCACTGTTACCTAATAACAGTATTGTCATTTAAATGACTATGTGTCATGATTTCTTTAAGTTTCGATTACATATTTAAATGTTTCTCATCTCTTCATGGAATTATAAACAGAAAGCATATTTATTAAAATTTATTAAGTCAGTTAAAAAATTCGGTTTCATTTTTTAAAAAATACTATGACAATATTTCATTTTAAACCCTTTAGAGCACAGTGATTTCACCGTAAGTTCATCTATTAGAACCAAATCATAACTTCAGGCATAGTGATCTCGCAACAAAACCACCGCCCAGCCTGTGTATAGTGATGGAAATATTTTGTTGCACAGTGATTGCACGGTAAAATTACTCCTATTCTATAAAAAATAAGAAAATAAAAAAAATTAATTTCAAAAGAAATGATCGCTTGAGTTGTCATTTTAGTCATGTGGCATGAATATTTTATTAGAATCCGAATTTTTAGTGTCCTGTGCTTCAAAAGGTTAAGATAATATTATGACAATATTTTAATTTATAATTTTAGTAGATTTTTTTATATAAAAAAAGGTAAAATCTGCCTGTATTATATATTTAGTGCCTGTATTATATATTTAGTGATTTCTCCTTTTTAACCAATTATCTTTTTGCAATCCCAGAATCATTCTTTTGAGGCAGGAAAGAGCACCACGAGACGAGAGCTCTATTAAATTATACTCGTTTGTTTTAGCCAGATCAGCGGGTCCCCTTCAACGCCTAGGAAGGTGGCTCGCAATTGTTCTGAAACGGTTGTGCAGCTGGATGGTCAAGAACAGCCGACTGAAGTCGAACAGCCACGCGTTCTAGCCGAGGCTGTCAGCAGATTTTCCTCGCTGGCGAAGAATCCGACGTCACGCTTCGAGCCCAGGAAGTCTTTCTTCCCTGTCCTTACGAAACCGTCCAGACCGGTAACGCGACCTTGGCCGAGCACGACGAATATTTCACATTCTGTTCAACAGTCGCCTTTTACACCGACTATTATCGAGACCGACAACCCATGGGCTAAAGATTCTAGCCGTCCATATCCAATGGAAGGTTCTGAAGAACAACGATCCAGCGTATCGTCGCAGGACCAAACGAACCAGGAGGGTGTCATAAATACGGCTTTCTCAAGCGATAGGATAAAAGACATGCCAGGTAATCGTGATCGCGGCGATACGGTGGAGAGGTTCTCCTTAGAACCTGGTCCTGCGTACCAGTGCACAGTGGGCTGGAAACCCACCATTTCTGCGAAAATGCGAAGACTCAGTAACTGATCCCTGGACAGAAGCGTTTGTGCTTTAAGAGCATCAAAAGATTTCATCAGAGTGGAAAACGATAGACTCGTATATAGGCATAGAAATCCTGTAAAAAAAATTAACAACATACCTACTACGGGAACGAGTTAGATCAGAAGCTCGTCGAATCATAGTAAAAGATTTCTTAAAAGAACAGGTGAAAGCGATGCATTAGAATTGATCCTCATCACTTGAAAAAGGACAGTTTTAAATTGTAAAATAATATATACCACGTATGGATTTCCGTTTATATATTTTACGATATACAGGGTATAGCAAAAGTACCGGAACGGCAAAATAACTCGACGGGGGAGCATTTTAGAGAAAAATATTTCTAATAAAAGTTGTAAGGCTTAAAAAGTCGCATTTAATGACAGTAGTTATTTGACCTAAGATGACGTCGCCAAGGTCAGGACAAGGTCAACTTTGCTTTTTTAGATAGAAATACATATTTTTTATTACGGCATTTTATTCTACGTGAAAAAGCAAACAACTTTTGTTTGAAAAAATTTTTTATACGACCTCTATTTTCTAAGATATTTACGTAAATATCTACAAAATTATTGGTTTCAATAATTTTTTACTTGAATTCTATCAACTTTACCGAAAAATATTAAGAGATAAAAATTGCTTATTTTGTTTTCAAAGAGCTCTGAGAATTTTTTCAGAATTTTGTGTTAACTTTTTAGTACTTCAAAAAAATGCAGTACTAAAAAATTAATATAAAATTCTGAAAAAATTCTCAGAGCTCTATGAGAACAAAATAAATAATTTTTATCTCTTGATATTTTTCGGTAAAGTTGATAGAATTCAAGTAAAAAATTATTGAAACCAATAATTTTGTAGATATTTACGTAAATATCTTAAAAAATAGAGGTCGTATAAAAAATTTTTTCAAGCAAAAGTTGTTTGCTTTTTCACGTAAAATAAAATGCCGTAATAAAAAATATGTATTTCTATTTAAAAAAGCAAAGTTGACCTTGTCCTGACCTTGGCGACGTCATCTAAGGTCAAATAACTACTGTCATTAAATGCAACTTTTTAAGCCTTACAACTTTTATTCGAAACATTTTTCTCTAAAATGCTCCCTCGCCGAGTTATCTTGCCGTTCCGGTACTTTTGCTATACCCTGTATGTATCGTCGAACACGAATAATGATATCCGAAGAACACGATTTATTTTAACATACAACGCAAAAAAAAGACTCACATAATGCTCTCTATTGACGTCATAATACAATATTGTTATAATAAGAAAACAAAAGCTTTTACAAAATTTTATCCCGCTTTCTCGTAAGAGAGCATATAAGGTGAAAGTTAATATATAATTTGTTCTTTTCACACGTTATCATGAAATTTGATGAAGTCTCTTTTGATGTTCTTTTATACAACTGCAAAATTATATTAGCATAAAATATAATAGTACCAGAAAAACTATATAAAATTAATAGCAAAAGACCATAAAAACCTACATTTTTGTGCGCGCTAAATAATTCTCAATTATTATAGCTACTTACAGAATTATATCAAGCGTACAGAGAACCAATAATACTTTTGATGACGATCAACGAAGTATTTTGTCTATACCTTACTTTTCAACATAACTACAATTGTATCATATTATTAGCACTTTCGCGACCGATTGATTATTTCTTAAATTGAACATAATAGCTGAAAATAGTATCGATCACCAACGTGTTACTATACGAGATACAGTTTAAAACAGTTTGTAACACCATTCATAGTACCGTTTACGAATGTACATGTAAATATTGTAAATATTGTAGAATATATTTCAAGATATAAAAAATAAAACACTTATATGTTTATTAGATATATGCAAAAGTCATCATACGCTATCTATTATTGCTCTACTAATAACTAAAGAAAACAATAACAATATCTCAGATACTCAAGTAATTACTAATAGTAATTAATCATTGTTCAATGGTTCAATGATTATTATTTACTATATATAAAATGTCACAATTATTGACACACCCGTTGTGTATGTATATGTAGATAGAACTCATTGAACTAAATTCCATTACCATTTTGCGAACAACTATATAAAATTTTGAATTATTAATTAAGAAATATATTCATAAATGATCACACGCGATACGATAGATGAGCTGTGATGGTGACGTTTGCCGTTATGTGTGTGTATATTGAAACAAAAAATCCCCTATAATTTTGCAAATTACCACGTTAATTTTTATTTATTAATTAAAGAACATTGATATATTATTGCGCACAACAACAATCAAAATATAACTGATATTGTTATAATATATATCAGCAAAACAGCAATGATATAATTGCTTTTATATTTCTAACAAAACATATATTATAATATTGTATAAATATATTCTAAAACATATATTATGAATTTGAATAAGTAATAAGAAAGTTTGAAAAATATAAGATATGAAACAATTTATATCAAATAAAGGAAAATTCCCTTGACCGGTCCCTTGACCGTTGCGGCGCGGGTCGTACTGATACAAGAGGCCAAGTCCCAGGGCCCTCCGTGTTATACGCGTGCCGATAGGCACCGAGCCTTCATTGGATCAACCTAACCTAACCTAAATCTTGCTCCTCCTCCGGTACCAAATCGATGATGGGCATATCATCCGTTTCTTCTTCGATGTGGAGATAGTGGTGCAAGAGAAGGGATGAAAGAGAAGGCGACGTCACACTGAAAAAAACCAAAAAAATATTAAAAATGTAATGTACAGAAGGAAGAAAAAAGAAAAAAAAATTAATGAAAAAGGAAAAAAGAAAATGAAAAAATAGAAGAAATAAAAGGAAATGAAGAAAAAAAACCGCAAAAAATAAAAAAATAAAAAAACTCATTTAAATTAAAAGAAAGAAAATTTTAACAAATAAAATAAAGAAAAAAAACAAGAGAAAAAAAAACAGAAAGAAAGAAAAAATAAAAATCTCGGTGCGCTGGATTTCCGCAGCCCAAATACCGCCCGGATTCCCTCTACTCCCTCTGGATATTTACATCCATTTCGTACATGGCTGCTTCAACCGCCGCGCTTTCTCAGTGATTTTGTTATCCTGAAAGGATTATTAAATAAAGAAGCCAAATGATATGTGATGTATAAAAAAGTAAAATATAAAATAAACGTGCAAGGAAAAAAAACATTTCCGTGCAGATATTCCCGTCGCAATCATCCACTGTATCGTGAGAGTTGGGAATAAATGACTAAAATGCAATATATACTTACCCTGTGTTCCCTGATGTGATCGGCATCCATGCTCTGTGAGTAAAAAAAAAAAGAAATAATGATCACGAATGAAAGTAATACTTGCAAAAAACCCCAGCCCGTTACAGAGCTGACACATGGTGAACCTTGTGCCGTGTATGCTGATGCCGAGGCCATTGTCGGCTGCGCTGGTGCTTGCGAGGTTCGGCGATCTTCTGCTGCTGCTGGTGCTGCTGCTGCTGCTGCTGCTGCCTCTAGTACTATAGTATTAGGTGTACAACTTTGCTTTCGCCGTTTTCCTATAGATGGCTTTAGCGGTAAGTGGTGAAATAAATAGATCATAGACGTCATATAATAAACTTGGGCATCTGTCAACATAACCCCATGGAAACATTAGTCGATTTGTGTCTGCATCATAAAGTTATTCTCGATTGAAAATGTCAGTTTACGAGCCAAATTCTCGTCATTTGCGGGAGGTTTTAATTTTCTGCTTCAATATGAAAAAATCTGCGGCTGAGGCTCATCGAATGCTCTCAAATACTTATGGTGAGGCCGCTATTAGTGAAAGAACGTGTCGTGAGTGGTTTCAACGCTTCAAGAACGGTGATTTTGACTTCGAAGACCGACATAGCGGTGGAAGAGAGAAGGTTTTCGAAAATGCAGAATTTGAGGCATAACTTGATCAAGACTCGTGTCAAAATCAAGAAGAATTGGCACAGTGACTCAACATTGGGAGTGACTCAACAAGTCATTTCAAAACGCCTCAAAGCCATGGGAATGATTCAGAAGCAAGGAAATTGGGTGCCGTACAAATTGAAGCCGAGAGATGTTGAACGGCGTTTGTTTGCTTGTGAACAGCTGCTTGAAAAGCAAAGACGGAAGGAATTTCTGCATCGCATTGTGACTGGGGACGAAAAATGGGTTCATTACGATAACCCCAAGAGCAGAAAATCATGGGGAGTTCCCAGTCATGTTTCCACGTTGACGGCCAAACCGAATATTCGCGGCTCCAAGGTCATGCTCTGTATTTGGTGGGACCAGCTCGGCGTAGTGTATTATGAGCTGTTAAAACCGACTGAAACAATCACAGGCGATCGGTATCGAACGCAATTGATGCGTTTGAGCCAAGCATTGAAAAACAAACGGCCGCAATACAACGAGAGACACGATAAAGTGATTTTGCAGCATGACAATGCTCGACCCCATGTTGCGAAAGTGGTCGACATACTTGGAAACGTTGAAATGGGAAGTCCTACCCCACCCGCCGTATTCTCCAGACGTTGCTCCCTCTGACTATCATTTGTTTCAATCAGTGGTACACGGCCTGGCTGACCAGCATTTCCGGTCTTATGAAGAAGTAAAAAATTGGATCGATTCGTGGATCGCCTCAAAAGATGACCAGTTTTTTCGACGCGGGATTCGTACGCTGCCCGAAAGATGGGAAAAAGTAGTAGCCAGCGATGGACAATATTTTGAATCATAAATGTATAACCAGTTTTTTACAATAAAGCCTCGAATTTCGGAAAAAAAAACGTCTGAAGTAAAGTTGTATACCTAATGCCAGCTCATCCAGGAGCTTAAGCTGCTTCCGTCCTCGCTACCGTGGTCGCTGCTCACGGTCGCAAATATAATTATACTATGTGCTGAATCTGAAAGAAAAAAAAGTGAAACGACCTTCAGAGAAGACGCCATGAGAAGAAACAGAACATTCAGATTAAAGATGGGACATCGAACAGAAATAATCGATTATAGGCTATAAACGGAATCGATATCGCCCATATCTGCAAAATGTATAAATAAGAAATAATCGATTATAGCTATAATCGATAATTTCTTTTCGATACATGAAGTAGAAATGGGCTATAATGATAACGATTATAGCTTATAATGTATTCTTTATGTTCGATGTCCCATATATAGTCCAGACGTTCCCATCTCTCTTGTGGCATCTTGTCATGAAAGTAGGGATAGTAAATAAAAACAGAGTAAAAAGTTTGTAACACAAATATTTTTACATAATTATAATTATACAGAATATTTATACGTAAGGCTGCTACTGCTGCTGCTGCTGAAATCAAAAAAATTTTAAACATAGAAACGGAATGACCCTGATGAGAAAACGCCAGGAGAAGAATCAGAATATCCATACTTGAGATAAGACATCAAGTAAAAATAATCGATTATAAGCTATAATTAGTATCGGTATCGCCAATCTGTATGTATGTAACGAGCCGTTTGGAAGACAGAGAACAGGAATCGTACTAGCGATAAAATCAAACGACTCGTCACGAAACTGAACACGCGACAATGTAAACATCGCCGACCGACCGCGAATATCACAACACGATATCAGATTAAAAGTAGTATAAAAGACCGCGCGAAAAGCTCAGCGAGAGCAGTCTTCCGAGGCACTCCGCTGAACAGAGCTCAGACTCCAACAGCAGTAGCACCTCGCGAACACCGCTACCTAGAACACCGCATCCTAAACCGTCCTCGATACCGCTCCGTCGACTTATTGGATTCGTAAAGTCGACATTCCTCGATACCGCTCCGCCGACTTGTTGGATACGTAAAGTCGGCATTCCTCGATACCGCTCCGTCGACTTATTGGATTCGTAAAGTCGACATTCCTCGATACCGCTCCGCCGACTTGTTGGATACGTAAAGTCGGCATTCCTCGATACCGCTCCGTCGACTTATTGGATTCGTAAAGTCGACATCCGCGTAGACTTATTGGATTCGTAAAGTCTACATCCTTGCTTACCGCTCCGTCGACTTGTTGGATTCGTAAAGTCGACATCCGCGTAGACTTATTGGATTCGTAAAGTCTACATCCCTGATTACCGCTCCGTCGACTTATTGAATACGTAAAGTCGGCATTCCTCGATACCGCGCCGCCGACTTGTTGGATACGTAAAGTCGACATCCACGTAGACTCATTACATCCGTACCGGCTACCGCTCCGTCGACTCGTAGAGTCGACACTCGCGGAGACGTGTCGGATTCGTAAAGCCTACATCCTTGCTTACCGATCCGTCGTCTTATTGGATTCGTAAAGTCGACCTCCGCGAAGCCGCGCCGCCGCCCCGGGGAAACCGATCCCCGCGGCACCGCATCGTAGCACACGACCGCGCCGCAAAAAGCCGACGCATCGCGCAAGCAGAGCCGTGTTAATCATCAAGTAACGGCTCTCCTCGCGCGACCAAAATTAAAGATCCAAACGTCAACATAGCGCCGCAAGCACAACACGATCGACGCGTCACACGACCGCCCGCGTCCCGCGACCGCCAGCGGTCCCGCAGCCCGAGCTCCGCCGCAGCGGACATCAACACGCGCGAACACAAAAACCCGCTCACGAAGCCAACGGCGTCGACTCAACCTGTACATACATATTGTAAATAGCCATCTAATCGACAATATATATTATTCTAATATCCATCCCACTGTCTTCACAATAATTGACATCTGCTCGAATCCGGACCACACCGACTCGCAGCTTATCCCGCAACGAACGCGAAATAGCGTTACATGTATTGCAAAGAAATAATGAATTACTGGTGTGATCCGTTATTTCTCTTCGATATGTATAGTACAGATGGGCAATATCGAAATCGATTATAGCTAAAAATCAATCATTAATGTTAAAAATCCCATGTGTAGTATGGACGTTCTCTTTCCTCTCGTGACGTCTTCTCATGAAAGTAAGGGTAGGGCCCGGTCGGTAACTCGCAACCGATCGCACCCCACTCCGTGTCGAAGAAAGGAAGAGAGAAAGAAAGGAAAAAGGGAAAGGTAAGCCGGAGCCCCGTCGGCCGCGCGAGAAGTGAAGCACAGAAGTACGAGAATACCGATTCAATGACATTTTCAGCAGGCTGAGAGCGCGTAGAGGCGATGGTTGCCATGCATGCGTGCCCTGTCCGTGTGCGCTTGTCACTTGAGCCACACCTGAGCCGAAGTAAGAGGCGCGCACAGACAGGGCACGCAGCATAGGAGCCATCCCCTCTACGCGCTGTCAACGTGCTGCAATTTGTAACTTCATCGGCATCCCTGCTCAAGTGCAATGCGCTCCACGCCCAACGCGTTTCCCAGCTCTTACCACATTGTAGATGGGGTCGGCACGTGAAAGTCAACAGGCGACGCTTTTTGAGAGCCACAAAAAAAAACGCAAACCTATATTCCTACGTACCACTCGATAGGAAAGCTACGATGGCAACGAATGCGAAGTCTGCATCGAAGCCAAATGTCTCGGTTCGCGAGAACGGCGAGGGTCGTACTGGTACGGAGGATATACCTCCGAAGCCAGGACCCCCCTCGACCGTTGTGGCGTGGGTCGTACTGGTACAAGGGGCATAATCCCTCTTGAAGCCAAAGCCCCCCGCGCCGCACGCCCACCGATTCGTCTAAAGCCGGAGCCCCGTTAGCCGTGCTATTATAATTGTATTTTTTTTAGCATGTTTCCCAACTCTCACCACGTGGAGATGGGGTCGGCACATGAATGTCCAAGCAAAACGTTCTTTGAGAGTCACCCGCCCTCCCACCCAAACAAAAAAGAAAAAAAATAATTAACGCGCTAAAATTAACAAATTAAGAAATTGTTAGGCGCAAAAAAAGTCATGTTAAAAGCATGTCAAAAAGGCGCCAATATAAAACACAAAATTATTATTAAAATAAGGCGCAAAAAAATAAAAATTGCAGCAACATGCTAAAATGAAAACGAACATAAATGTTAAAAAAAAAACGAAAAGTTTCTACTCCCCTGCAAATAAAAATATCACATTACATTTTGATATAATTTGTCATTACGCTGACTATACAAGACTTACTCACATTTCTACTTATTCGATGTCTCCCAAATTACTCGACGTATCATCGTTCTCTGTGACGTGTCGATTATATGTAGAAAAAAAAATATTAATTATAGAAAAGAAACGTAACATTACATAATAGTGCAAATAAAATTTTACATGTGTCATGAAATTATCCTATAATTGTGAAAGTCAAAATAAATGAAAAAGTACATTAAGGAACAAATAAATATAGAAAAAAAGTCCTCTCATCACGTTAAAGTGGTGGACAAGGGGGAAGAATAACTTAATCGGTATTGCTTAGGTTATATAGGGCGTCTCGCATAAGATGCATCAATAGAGAAATATGATTGCAACTGATAGCAGTTAGCAAAAATTGTAGAGGTTGAGTTTGAAAGA